ACAACAACAACAACAACAACAACTATATGTCTTGGTGACTTTCTTTTGGGGTCTATCCTTCCTGGGGTTCAGCAATCTTCTTGAAAGGTTATCTTTTCATTTCTCAGGATGTTAGGGAAATTTTATTCCAGAAGCTCTTCAACTAACTCCTCTGTGGACTTGTGTGATACTTCCTGTTCTGGAATGCCAATAATTATTGTTATTCCTCCTCATGTTGTCCAACATGAATCTTAGACTTTTTTCAGATTTTTTTCATCTTTTCTTCTCTCTTAGTAATATTGAGAGATTTGTCTTCCAGTTCACTGGTTTGGGCTTCCATCTCTTCAGTTCTACTCCATTTCCCTTTCTGTGTATTGTCCATTTCTGATATTTTATTATTAATTGTTTGGGCCTCTTTTTGCAGATTTTGAGTTGCTTCCAATATTGTAACTATCTTATTTGATTGTTCCTGTAGCGCTTTCCTGATTTCTTCCTTATGTTTCTCAACTCCTCTGTGGAGCATTTGCATGAATCTCAATATCATTCCCCTAATTGCTTCCCAGGCAGTTCCAAAGCCTGCCCTCCTTCCAGTGTGAGGTCTAGATCTACCTCCAGATCCTTTGTCTCAGTTACTCTCTCCTGTGTCTGGACATGTGCCAATATGGTCAGTTGTTACTTGGGTATCTTCAATAATTAGGAGTGTTTTCAATATTAGATGAATGCATGTGGATGTAATATTAGCTTTTTTATTGTCTCCAGGTAGATGTGATCAGGAGATGGAGTTCTCTTTTCACTTTTTTATTTCTCAGCTCAGAGTAGCTGTAATAGGTGTTGGTTGTCTATCTGATGTATAGCATCAGTATCTTGCATTGGCTTTTGCCTAGATGGTGGGATTTTTATATGGTGTGACGATTGCTTGGTTATATGACTGTGATTACTTCTCCTCTTCGACAATGTAGGGAGAGAAAGAGCCCCCTGAGGTTAAAAAGGGGACCAAAACCAACAACAACAGCCAAAAAACCCAGATTGGATAATATAGTCTACAATAGCAGAAAAGAAAAAAAAATTCTGTAGCAAAATATGAGTATGACTTTAACAACCCTCTCTCAGCTTCTTGCCTTTAGGACTACTTGAGAAATTTCAAGATGTTACTGTCGGTCCTTATTATGTAACTCAGGATTTAATTTTTGGCCTTTTTCTTTTTTAGTCTGTCTCTTTCCCACTCCATTATCCCCATTCAGACCTTTTTCCTAGTGATAAACAGACCAGGGACAGCTGTAACTGTTTTGGGTGACCGTTCAGTTTTAAGCAGTGTATTTCCCATTCTTAGATTCTGTGCAGTTGTTTTTGCTAAGCAGATCTGTGCACATGCATAGTATAACCTCTGAGGATCGGGGTATGTCCACTCACTCAGGAACCTCTTCTAGTCACCACAGTGGAGGTGCACACACAGCAAGACACCAATGAGCACAGGAAAAAAAAAAAAAAAAGAATGTAAGAATGTCCATACCTTTATCTCTGAGGATCAGTCAGACTTCTGTGGTTGGACTGCTCCTCTGATCCTTCACCCACTGTGTCATGCCCAAGATGGGCACTCTAGGAGTGGATGGCATAGCAGATCAGAAAACACCACCTTTCTTGCTTCTTCTACAAATTCCACTGGCTATGAGCCTTAGAACTTTCTAAATATTCTCTTATATGTAGTTCAGAGTTCTGGGACCATCCCCTGAACCTGCTTTATCTGGTATTCTGTGTTATTGCTGATGAAGGTCTACATTGTACTTCTTCCTAAGCCACCATTTAGACCCACCCTCCAGAACATTATTTTGTAGAATGTATGCTAACTCACTATGGAGTCTCCTGAGACAACTATAAGCCTGAACACCCAGACCCAACATTGCCTCAAGATGTTTGATAATATCTAAGAAGTTTTCAGCAATTTGCCTGCTGTGTGCACCAAAATATAGCATACATAATCCAAGAGACAGTTGTTCAAACAGAACAAGGGAACACTTAATGGTTTATAATTAGGAAATGTGTGCACGAGAGTTGTATTCTTTCACCATATTTATTCAGTTTGTATGCTGAGCAAATTATTTGAGAAGCTGTGTTATATGAAGAAAAACGTGGCATCAGGGTTGGAGCAAGACATGCTATATGCAGATGATACTACCTTGATTGCTGAAAGTGAAGAAACCTTAAAATACTTACTGATGAAGATCAAAGACCACAGTCTTCAGTATGGGATGTACCTCAGTGTAAAGAAAACAAAAATCCTCACCACTGGACCAATAAATAACATCATGGTAAATGGAGAAAATATTGAAGTTGTCAAAGACATCATTTTGATAAGATCAACCATCAACCCTCATAGAAGCAGCAATCAAGAAATCAAATGACCTTAGGCATATCGGCTGCACAAGACCTCTTGAAAATTGTTGAAGAGCAAAGATGTCAGTATGTAGACTAAGGTGGCCTTGACCCAAGCCATGGTATTTTCAATAACCTCATATGCATGTGAAAATTGGAGCATGAATAAAGAAGACTGTAGTATAATTGATGCATTTGAGCTATTGTGTTGGAGGAGAATATTAAAAGTATCATGAACTGCCAGAATAACAAACAAATTTGTGTTGTAGGAAGTACAATCAGAATGCTCCATAGAAGCCAGGATAACCAGACTTTTCTCTATGGTTTGGACATATTATCAGAAGGGACCTGTCCCTATAGAAGGACATCATGCTTGGTAAAGTCCATGGTCAGGCAAAAAGAGGAAGACACCTCAGTGAGACTGATTGGCACAGTGGCAGCAGCAATGGACTCAAGTGTAGCAATGATTGTGAGGTTGGCAGTGTTTCATTCTGTTGTGCAAAAGGTCACTATGAATTGGTATGGTCTCAATGACACCTAACAATACTCCATCATGGATTCCTGGTGTGGTGTTGTCAGATAAGCACTGGACTGCTAACAACAAGGTTAATGGTACAAACTCACCAACTGGTCCTCACAAACCCTATGTAGAGTTACTATGAGTTGAAATTCACTTCATGGCACTTAACAACAATATGTTCCACCACATTCCTAGTTGTGTTTGCAGCAAAGGTAAATACCCACGTACAAATATCCTCTTTTAAACCCTTATATTTTTCTAAGAATACTCCTACTCTTCCTCTTATACCTGTTCAGCCTGTGTATCTGTCCATGCATCTACCGATAGAATACTGTTGCTCCAAGGTTGTGCATTAACGCTATTTACCTCTATTCCCTTTAGCCCTTGCATATCCCCCAGGGTGTTCACCTGTCATCATCCTTCTCTATTAACCTCATATTGTCCTCTGCATCACCCAAGTTATCATGTGTCTACCCTCCCTCTCACTTACCTCCCACCACCAGGAGTCCTGGTATGACACTGTAAACCAGTGCCCTGGAGCACAAGGTCAGCTTGAGCTGCAAGGTCAGTGGATCAAATACACCAGCAGTTCTTTGGAAACCCTATACAGGGTTGCTGTGTGTCAGAACTGACTTGATGGCACTTAACAATAGCTTTCCACCACTGGGAACCATTAATTAATATTTCATTTATCATGAAAACTTTTTCTTGAGGCTTTACAGTAGTTATGTCTGATTCCATGTAATGCAATATTTGTACAGGTACTGAGGATTAAGACCTGGGCATCTTTGGGGGCCATTATTTTGTCTACCACACAACCACTTTCTGAGGTTGTTCATTCAGAATGATAGAAATTGGCTAAGAGCTTTTAGAGGCAGTCATTTCTTGGACCATTAGCCAGAGGAAAAACTAATATATAGTTGAAACACCTAGAGATGTTAGAATGAGAAATAGAAAAACATGGAATTATTTTTTCTGCTGTGTAAGATTTAGTGTGATATGATCTTATGTGTAATTAACTAAAATTAAATGTCAACTTTTTATTTTCAAATTTGTTTACTGTAAAATGACATTTCCTGTCTTGCCTGGGTCATTAAGAAATTTAGGGGACTTCCGGTTAGCCAGGGCGGCCAGGCGGTGCTTGTGAGTGGGGGCTCCGGGATCGGGGGGCAGGGGGGAAGCTCGCGAGTTGAGCCTCCCAGGTGGGAATTCACAGTCTCACGGCCCACGTAAATCTTAGTGCGCCAGAGCCTTAGACCCATTTCTTTGAGAAATCACTGTGCAA